AGGCACATCAGGATCTGTTGCACTCACTGATATGTGCAGAGTTACTGCAAGTGTTATATCTGCTTGCAACCAATCCTTTCCCCTCTTGAAACCTGACATTTGCGGTGCTTTTTTAGGTGAACTAGCAAGTGTTCTGCTGACGCATGAAGATAGAAAGGAATAGTTACAGGCTTGTATCATTTTTTCGAGCTGGAGGGTGTCCTGAGGACAGTAGCGTTACAGATATATATGATGTAAGTTAGGCAACTGAATGAACCGGGCGGAACTAGCCCTTCTGTCAGAAAACTTGGGCGATGGAAAAATGGTGTACCAGAAGTATGTAAAACGTTGGCTGTTGTTTTATACTTCCAAATTTGTTGTCTGAAGTGCTCATTCCCTGTGCAATTTTGTGATCAAACTGGCAATGCCTATTCTTTCGGAAATGTCTGACGTCAGTTTTTTAGACATGGCAAATCGAAAGTTTTTCATGGCAATTTATATTGGCGCGAGGGTGACAAATTAAGTTTACAAGCACAGCAATTTTCTAGCAAAATATGAATTGAGGCGGATTTGCCATGCTTGTCAACTTAACTTGCCATCCTCAATGAGCACAACTTGCGATGAGAAACCTTTGATTTGCCATGCCTAAAAATCTGACATTCGCTGGATATTCAGGTCCTTTCGATTGACCTCTTTCTAGGGGTCCTTAACTTATTGGACACTATATTTCAGGAGCAGACTCTCTGATCAAACTCTCGCCCTCCAGAGAGAAAAAAAGATTCATCATCCTCATTTTATAGGCTGGAAAAAAATACCAGAAGGCACGATGCTGTGTGGCAATCTCGCCGTTTCCCAATGTGACGTGCATTATATGTGTGCAAGAGTCAAGGGATTTTGTTGATGATGCTGCTGAGAATACGGAGCACGATCCCTTTAATGATGGGACATGCCAATGGTAACGGCCTTGAGCCACGATAAAGCTCAGCATAATGAGCACTAATAGGGCTGTTCAATTCTACGGTGTATGATGGCGGTTCGGTTTTCGGTCAATGTTGTCAGAATGTGACTCTATCAACCTACTCCCTCTGTCTAGGTGAGTAAGTCATCTTAGGTTGTGCACCGTGACCAAGGAGGAGGAGAAAACGAGAGAACTTAATGTTCATTTGCTAATTAATAGCATTGCATGCAATGAACTAATCACTGCATGTCGTCTTTGGTAGTCTCAAGTCATTAAAAATATGCACACCCCACATCTCTTATTGGTTGATATGTCAAGAAATAAGAAACGAGGTAGAATTTAATGCACCGCGCCTAAGTATTTTGAGATTATTTGGATTTCGTAAGATGACTTACACACTAGACGGAGGGAGTACTGCGCTAGTTCAAGAAAGACTTCGCTATTAAGCTACCTAGACTGAGGTGGGATTTTCGGATCCAACGGATACCAAAACGCCTTTCGAAGGGGCTGTTGATAGAAGCTCCTCAGACGTCCGAAGTATACTACTTCTCGGGCTAATAATGGTTACAGTCAAGATAAACGCTGAAAATACTGGCTAAACCAACTTGCAAGGACTTTGGATCTTGGGGTGTCCTCGGGCACCAAGTCGACAAAGAAGCATCGAAGATTGTTGAACTCGCCTGTGAAGCCGACGACCGAAGACGAAGCCGCTACGAGGAGGATCAATGTCCTCGGCTTGAAGACCGGTTCAGGGGCTACTGACGGTGTCCTGAATTAGGGGCGGCCTACCAATTATGGGCCAGACCGAGGACCCTCAGACAACCAAAGAATGAGCCATACTTACCATGACCTCTGACGTACTTGTCTTGTTCGAATCATAGGCAAGCTGATCCCTAGATGCAACCAACATGCATGTAACGCTATATAAGCCCAGGGGTTTTAGTCCGTATGGTTAAGTTAGATACATGTGATCTCGAGGTTGATCATCATGTACATTGTACTTCAACACAATCAGTACAATAAAAGCAGGACGTATGGGTTTTACCTCTTCGAGAGGGCCCGAACCTAGGTAAACACCGTGTCTCTTGTTCGTCCTGTTTCCATCAACTTAAGATCACCAGCTCAGGACACCCAACCCGAGATCTACTGGATTTAGCTCCATCGCTATCGTAGCTAGTACAGATATACATTTAAGCTGGCGAGCATGAATGCTCTAAGGTAATTACAACCAAGTTGATGGTCAAATGTTGGATCGAGTACCTCATAGTGATTGTCGAGTACTTCCTCCGTCTAGGTGTGTAAGTCATATTACGAAAACCAAATATTCTCAGAACACTTAGGCGCGGTGCATTAAATTCTATCTCGTTTCTTGTTTCTTGACATATCAACCAATAAGAGATGTGGGGTATGCATGCTTTTAATGACTTGAGACTACCAAACACGACATGCAGTGGTTAGTTCATTGCATGCAATGCTATTAATTAGCAAATGAATATTAAGTACTCTCGTTTTCCCCTCCTCCTTGGTCACGGTGCACACCTAATATGACTTACTCACCTAGACGGAGGGAGTATCTTTTTTGTTAAGGAGTGTTCATTGATTTAGCTAGAGCTAATAAACCCGCTAGCAGCCATATAGTCTCAATCATAATGAATGTTAGCCGCCACCTGATTTTCTTCTTCTTTTTTTTTGCCATGTGAACTGAAAAAACAAGAAGAGAAAAGCCACCAACTGTTCAATTAGTCGGGTTAGTAGGCTTAATATATACTATGAGTAAATAGAATTATTATATCTGATTGATATATTTGTGGATGGAAATAGAAGCAAATTGCATGTTCTCTAAGAAAAATAGAAGCAAATACAATAAGAACAGTCTCGATGATAAACAATTGGCTGGGTTTTTTTTTTTTGCGAAATGAACAATTGGCCTGTTATCCATATAAATTAAAGCCATATGTGTATATGACATTTAAAGATCCGTCAAAGTGCAGTTTGGCGCATAGATTACATATATTATAGGACTATACTTTTCAGTTTTCACCATCAATAGAAGTTTTATGACTTAATACAACACTTCTCTAAATGAAAAGATGTAATATATTTAAATCTGTATACATTATATTCTAATACTTCTTTTGGGCTTGGCGTGCTTGTCTAAACTATGATAAACCAAACCTATAATCATGTCTCCCAAGCATTCGTTCTACCTCGGTATTCTATCCCCAATATCATTGGAGATCTCAGTTCATGTTTGCTCAATAATTCATGGTATCCATGCTTGCAGTTCGATCACACGGTCGTAGTATTATTTGGGTCAGTACTTCTCGCTAGCTTGGCTATAGCTGTCTTCGACGCCTAAACAATTCTTCCCATGTGCTCGTCGAGCGTAAGAAACTTATTTGACTATTTGGAACATTGAAATTTTGACACAACATGATAGATCCCACGTAATGCCATCATGACCTTTGTTTTTTGGGTTCCACTTTAGTACATCCCTCTTAATGAACCAATGGTGAAGAAAACATACCCTTCACCTAAGAGGGTATAATCGGTGCTGTGAACAAGTTTGTCGATTTTCCGGCGTGTCCAATGTGCATTCCACTTGGTTGTCTTAGAATGTCACTCGATGACACCCCGCCAGTTGCAATGGGAATCAGTTGCAGTATATTTTGAGAATTTTGATTCTATGAAATATGAATATTCGTATTGATATTATATGAACTGAAACAAAAAAGTACACATTAGATATAGTATTTTATTTTGTATAGTTCAAAATAATTATTGAATATAAGTGGCATAATATAATGAAAACTTCTCAAATGCATGTAGTGCACCTTTGATGATGTGACATGTGTGGTAAGGTGTAATTTTTGCTTGGGATCAATCAATAATATATTTTTCACATGCGGTGGACCTTTCATGATATGACACGTGTGGATGTTAAGATATATAGAAATAGTGAGGATTAAGTAAATAGTATATAGGATTCACCAGGAAACTACAGGCCTACCCATACATGTGCATCTGCATCTCTCGGTCAAGGTTGAGCACAAGGCTAAGTGGCGGTGTGGAAGCTAGCTAACACCATGGATGCAACCTCCAAAGAAACCATGCCCGACAGTGGTGCGGGTGGCAAGGAGACGGCAACTGCAAGCAACAGCAAGCACTAGAGCCCTCTTGCACTCAGGATCATGGTTTTCACCTTCAGTGAGATTTAAGTGAAATTCACTGAATTTCAGTAATTTCAGTAGACATTGAAATATTATGTTTCAGCCAAAATATTTCAGCAATTTCAGTCCAACACAAGAATTCAAATATTTTTCAAGATATTTTTTAAAAATTTCAAATTTTTAATTGAATTAAAGTGAATATTTCGGTCATTTGACTGAAATGCAAACTGAAATAACTGAAATTCACCGAATTCAATGATTTTGGTTGGTGCTGAAATTTTGCTGAAACTGAAATTGAAAACCATGCGCAGGATACCTCAAGCTTGGGATGAGATGTTTCTTAGCTATAAAATCTAAAAAAATAAAATATGGCAAACAAACGAATAGCAGTTTTGCTATTTCTGAGTCGACCTAGACTTCGTTATGTCTAAGTCAATAGTATCTTTCTTTGATTTTGCATGGAGATTCGTGCAAAAATGCTTTTCATTTTTTTTGTTTTTTCTTCTTACTTACTATATGATTTTACTTAGACTTGGTTAATCTCGGTCGATTGAGACCTAGCCACACCCAACAAATAAATGTTTTGAGCGCTTTGTAGAAGTTGTGAGAAAAAAATTAATGCGCCAAGAAAGATATTTTGGAATCATTTTGGAGTGCTGTCACACCCCATCCTGTGCACCGATCTTCATGATGATCCTGTCACGATCTTTGCGCGCTAGAATTATTTGCAGTCACATGCATGCCTGGTCGTACCATACTAAGAAGAGTCTTTGCCGTGGAAAGTTGAAAACCGTATTACCACATTAATTTGACAATGAAACAGTACAGGTTCATCCACATCTTCTCTAAATTAAGTAGTAGTATTGTTGTAATCAAACGAAATTAGTTAGTCATCACTTGAACTCGTCATCGTTGACCTGCTGCAGTTTCTTGTTCTTTCCATTGTGGGCCTGCTCCTCCGTAACGACAGGCGCCATTTCCCCAGCAGCTTGGTCGCTCCCATCGGCATCGGCGGTTGCGACGACGGGCGCCACCTTGAACTTGGCGTAGATGTCACCCTTGTAGAAGTTTCTGGTCCTCCAAACGAGCACGAGCGAGACGAGCGCGCCGGCGAGCGTGACCCCGGTGATGATGAGGAAGGCGTGCTTGAAGCACAGCACCCCCTTGCAGATCTTGTCGCCGACAGCGGCGGCGGCGTGTCCACCGTGCTGCCTGGCGGCCTCGGCGTCGTACATGCGTCCGGCGATGCGCACGTTGAGCACGTAGGCGCCGATGGGGCTGGCTGCGGAGCCGAAGTTGAAGAGCGTGGAGTAGTACTTGAGGCCGAAGACCTCGGAGATGATGGAGAAGAGGAGCGGCCACTGGGCGCCGAAGCAGAAACCGAGGATGACGGAGGCGGCGTAGAGGGACTGCGGCACGCCGAAGGCGATGAGGAGGTGGCCGACGCAGGAGAAGAGGAGCACGGCGGTGAGGGCGAGCGGGCGCGGGAACCTGTAGCGGGCGACGAAGAACTCGGACATGTAGCCGGCGCCGACGCGGCCGGCGTAGTTCCAGATGCTGATGAGGGAGACGAAGGTGTTGACGCTCTTGTGCGGGTAGCCCAGCGACTGGCCGATCTGCGCCATGTTGTCGATGGCCGTGAGCGTGCCGCCGATGCCGAACACGGAGACGACGAAGAGCACCAGCATCTCCACGCTCACCAGCGCCTGCATGATGGTGTAGTCCTCCCCCAGCGCCGGCGGCTTGAACATGTTGGTGAGGCAGCCCTTCATACCACACGACGGCTCGTCGTCCTCTTTCTTCGTGCTTGCTGCAGCTGGTTCCTCGACGGCGATCGCCGGCGGGTGCTGGAGGGACTCCTCGAGCTGGGAGACGGCGGCGTACTCCTCCTTGATGACGACGCCGAGGGGGAGGAAGAGGATGAGGAGGAGCACGGTGGCGCCGACGGCGTAGGCGGCGTGGGAGAAGCTGGGCACCTGCTTCTGCACCACGATCATGACGAGGAGGTAGGTGGCGAGCGCGATGGAGATGTAGAGGAAGCAGAAGAAGGGCTTGCTGTTGGGCTCGTCGCCCTCGGCGCGGCGGCGGTAGGGCAGGACGCGGATGGTGTGGACGAAGAAGATGTAGACGGCGGCGGGGAGCCATGCGATGAGGAGGACGAGGGACTTGGCGTCGTCGCCGTAGATGGCGAGGTAGAGCTGCGTGTAGATGGCGCCGCTGAGGCCGACGAAGCCCTTGAGCAGGCCGATGACGATGCCGCGGCTCTCGGGGAAGTTCTTGACGCAGGCGACGAGCGCGCCGGTGTTGGAGAAGGTGAGCGCGTTGGCGCCGACGCACATGTAGATGCACATGAGCCACACGGGCGGCGCCGCCGTACGCTCCGTGAGCGCGAGGTAGACCATGAGGTAGCCCGCCAGATTCATGCCGGCGCCGATGAGGAGCACGGCCCACGTGGGCGCCACCTGCTGCACCAGGCCGGAGACGACGCCGACGTTGGTGCCGAGGTCCTTGAAGAAGCCGAGCGTGTTGAGCGTCTGCTGGTTGTACCCCAGCACAGACCGCAGCTCCTTGGAGTAGAGCGCGAAGATGTAGGTGGACCCCGACGCCGCCATCACCACCATGGACGCGAACACCACGTACCACCGGCTGCGCAGCACCCGCCCCACGAACGCCGGCGTGCACATCACCGCCGCGGCCCCCTCGCCGCCGGCCATTTTCTTCCTCTTCCCTGCTCGATCGATCTGTCTTACTGTTGTATTTGCGAGGATAAGATGATAGGTACAACACCAAGTGCAAGCTGCTACTTATAGCGACGTGACGACTAGTGTGCACCAGTTGACTACAGTAGTATTCTTGCCATGCCAAGCAGTTCATGAACTGAGAGAGACAGCTATGACCAATCGGGCAACCAAAAGATTTGGAGAAATGACAAGTACACGCAAGGTGTAGCTGGTATAGTGGACTTTCGGTCAAGTTGCTGAGATTTGATTGGATGCTACTGCATCTGGTGTTCACCGGCAAGCTCAAGAGAGGGTATTTTACCATGTCCATGTGGGCACCATTGTTTGGGGATTAGTGGAGGCTAAGGTGTGTGGATGTGGATGTGGACTAAATCCAGCAGCGCCGGCACATTCAGTTGACCAAAAACTCTTTGGTCTATACTCCGTAGCTTTCAGTTGGACAGCTTTTTCTTCCGTCCCTCCCTGCGTTTTGGAATTAACCATGTGAAAGGGCCTGCCTAAGACAAATTCAAGGTGGCCAACATAAAATAAATGCTACATTACTTATGGTTGAAATTTGACATTGACAAGCAAAGTGTCAGTGCGATTAATTGTGGCAGATCCAAAATAGACTAATACATGTTAACAAACTTGAAGAAAACATCACCCTCATTTTTGGTATCAGTCTTGCTAAATCTTAGTCGAGTGAGACTTATGTTTCAGTCGACTGAGACCTGCTACCTACATCCTTTTGGTATATATGCCTGTAAAAGTATGTTAGATTTCACCCAAAATGTATTCATTTTATTATTTAAATGCGTGAGGTGGATGGGAGACTAAGGGGTTTTCTGCAAATTGTGGATCTAAGTGGCGGGCTCTTTGTGCAAAAGTAGCAGAGCTTACCTCGCGTTCGCTAGATGCTGATCAAATGAAATAAGCTATTATTAGCTGACAAATAACAACCTTCATCATCAAAAAGGATGACAGACAAACCATCATCGTCACCGTCTCTTATAAGAGTAGAGACTGGAGTATCTAAAACAAGCTATTATTAGTTGACAAATAACAACCTTGTGTGTTGGTGATATGATAATTTCCTGTTAAACAAAATAACTTCCCCGGCTTGTCATCGTCAAAAATCCGATATGATAAATCACCAAAGACTGACACGAGCCATTGAAGATGCTATTAACCAACACTTGCTATATAACACGACATAAAATGCAGTTTTTTTTTTTTGCGGGAACGAACCTATATATGAGGTTGGACAATCAATTTTTCTATGGTATTACTTGGTACCAATATATTCTGTCGTCTGAAAATGTATGTGCTCTAAATAATTAAAGGAGTATCTACGCTCGAGGTGCACGTGGGAAGAATTATTAAGGGGTCATAGACAGCTCTAGCACGGCTAGCTAGAAGGAATGGACTAAATAATATAAGTGTGAACTGCAAGCATGGATCGTCAGTTATTGAGCAAACTGGAGTTGAGATCTCCAACGATATTGGGGAATAGAGTATTGAGACAGATGGAATGCTTGGAGATACGGCTAGGGTTGGTTTAACATAGTTTAATGCTCGTGCCCCGCATGATGAGGTGATTCCATGGATTTTTCGTCCTGCCACTTGATTCTAGTTGACTTGCTGGGAAGGTGGTGTGCCTGATCTTGATTGCTTGTAGCACATGATGTGTATATCACGCAGCTGCTGTCCAATGGACACAAATATGATGGGCTGTAGAGTAGGACAGCTAGCTAGATATGCTACACAGATGAATCAGTTAGATATATAAGTGTGTGTTCTATGTAGAACGATTCTAGCAAAAATGTATTCATTCTATTGAGCTGAGCAATTGTGGATCTGGCGTTTTTATCTTCTTTTTGTACGGTTGGCTACTTATTTCACATGGCAGAATAATTCAAATTCATGCGGCGGCTAACGGACATTATGATTTGATCCAGATTAGATGGCTGCTAGCAGGTATTTTCTTAGCTCTAGCTAGTTTAAGATCATCTATGATCACATCCTGAAGAAAAGATCATCCATGATCAGTGTGAGCTGTAAGATCCAACAATTGATCGCGAGCTTAGCTGTAATTAGCTTAGACCGTGTCATGCTCGACAGCTAAAAGATAAGTTTATACTCTCTTTTTGCGAAAACATATATTTATACTAACAAGAACAGTGGTGCCATATAGTATATATTATATTTAGGAGTATTTAGCCCAATTTTATTTAGTTATAAAATGTATTAATTCTATTTAGCCGAGCAACTGTGGGGTTTGCGTTCTTCTCTTGGAGCGCCTGGCTAGTTACATGGCATGTCCAAACCATTTAAATTCAAGGGCTAACGTACATTATGATTCAGATTAGACGGCTGCTAACATGATTATTCTTTAGCTCTGGGGTCGGTGCTAAATCCGGCATCGTAGGGTCCGCAGCATCATGGTGGGAAAATTTCACAGCCACGTACCCCATTGACACTGTCACATGGGACCAGTTCCAGCAGGCTTTTCGCACTGCCCATGTTTCAGCATGAGCTATGGCCATGAAGAAGCGCGAGTTTAGCAACTTGCGCCAAGGAGGACACACAGTGGGCCAGTATGTGGATGACTTTAACAAGTTAGCATGTTATGCTGTTGCTACGGATGCAGCTAAGCATGAGAAGTTTCTGGAAGGACTAAATGATGAGCTGAGCATGCAGTTGATGGTGGCAACCTTCAACAAGGACCATGAGTTGGTAGATAGAGCTCTCATGATTGAAGGGAAGCATCAGCAGATTGACAACCACAAGAGGAAGTATGAACAAGGGAAGTACAATTCTGGAGCTCAGAAGAGGCCCCGTTTTACCCCGAACTCGGGAGGACACCTTCAACATAACCATGGAGGTCACAACCACAATGAAGGAAGTTCGCACAACCATAATGGCCCAAAGAATGGGAATGGTAATGGAGGAAGCAACGGCCAGAACCGCTCCAACCCAGCAACGCCCGCCAAGAAGGATCTAAGTCACATTACTTGTTTCATGTGCGGGAAGAATGGACATTATGCCACGGAGTGTTCTGAAGCAAAGAATGGAAACGGCAATGGAAGCTCTAGGAAGAAGCCCAACCCTTTCAACAGGGGACAAGTGAACCACGTTAGCGTGGAGGAGGTTGAAGCGCAACCCGATGCAGTAGTATGTAAGTTCTTGGTTAAGTCATTTACTGCAATCGTTCTTTTTGATACTGGTGCATCGCATTCATACATAGCAAGGGGATTTGTGGATAAGTTTAAACTGCCAACCCAAGCCCTTAGGTCACCCATGTTAGTAACCTCGCCAGGAGCAGAGTATATGGCTAGTGTATGGTGTGATCGGTTACCATTAAGGATTGGTAACTACGTGTTTCCCTCAGACCTAATAGTATTGGAGGGACTGGATGTGATATTAGGCATGGATCGGTTATCGAAGTATGGAGGGAACATTAACTGCGCCAGTAAGTCGATTTTGCTTACCACCCTAGAAGGAAGAAGGATTAAGTATGTATCCCGACATGTGTCGAAGAGGACTCAAGTAAATTCCTTATCATGAGTTGTACAAGAGGAAGTACCAGTCGTGAAGGATTTCCCTGATGTATTTCCAGAGGAGTTGCCAGGCATGCCACCGGATAGATACATTGAGTCTTTGATTGAGCTTTTACCAGGCCCAGGGCCAATATCTAAGAGACCGTACAGGATGCCCGCAAAGGATTTGGAGGAAATTAAGAAACAGATTAAGGAGTTACTGGATAAAGGCTATATTCGCCCAAGTTCATCACCTTGGGGATCACTAGTGCTTCTAGTGGATAAGAAGGATGGATCGTTGAGGATGGTTGTTGATTATCGAGGATTGAATGAAGTGACCATCAAGAACAAGTATCCACTGTCGATAATCAATGATTTGTTTGACCAGTTACAAGGAGCTAAAGTATTTTCCAAGATCGATCTGCGATCAGGATACCACCAGCTGAAGATTCGAGAGCAGGATATACCTAAGACCGCTTTTACCACAAGGTATGGGCTATATGAATATACCGTTATGTCATTTGGTCTGACTAACGCACCTGCATATTTCATGAACATGATGAACAAGGTGTTTATGGAATTTTTGGATAAGTTTGTTGTGGTGTTCATTGATGATATATTGGTCTACTCGAAGAATGAAGAGGAGCATAAGGAGTATTTGCGTTTGGTACTTGGGAAGCTCAGAGAATATCAGTTATATGCCAAGTTCAGCAAGTGTGAGTTTTGGTTGAAGGAAGTTGGATTCCTCGGAAATGTTATATCCGGAGAAGGAATAGCAGTAGACCCTACCAAGGTTGTCACTGTGACAAATTGGGAAGCACCCACGTCAGTTGGAGAGATCCGGAGTTTTCTTGGACTCGTAGGATACTACCGGAGGTTCATTGAGAATTTCTCAAAGATTGCAAAGCCTATGACAGAGTTGCTGAAGAAGGACACCAAGTTCAAATGGACTGAGGAATGTGAGGCCAGTTTTCAGGAGTTGAAGAAACGTTTGGTTACAACTCCAGTGTTGATTTTGCCAGATCAACACAATGATTATCAAGTGTATTGCGACGTTTCTCGTCGAGGACTTGGAGCAGTGCTTATGCAGCAGGGAAGAGTTGTTTCATATGCCTCACGACAGCTTAAACCCCACGAGTTGAATTATGCTACACACGGTTTGGAGTTAGCAGACGTAGTGCATGCGTTGAAGACTTGGAGACACTTTCTCATTGGAAACCACTGTGAGGTGTACACGGATCACAAGAGTTTGAAGTATATCTTCACGCAGAAGGAGTTGACTCAGGCAGAGGAGATGGTTGGAGCTCATCAAGGATTATGATATGAGGTTGCATTATCATCTCGGAAAGGCTAAAGTAGTAGCTGATGCGTTGAGTCGCAAGAGCCATATCAATATGCTCATGACCAGAGAGCTACCCAAGGAGTTAGTAGAGGATCTTCACGAGCTATGTT